TGTGTACCGAGTATGCTTGGTGATTAGCACAATCTGATATTAGACAAAAGCTAATTACTTAATGTCACTGCTGTGATCAATGTAACGTATCGTGGCAGTAAAAAAGAATGCCGATATATTATTAAAATAAAACTATTGCGTAGAATCTTGACACATAAATGTAAAATTCTCAGCAGAATCTATGGTAAGTAAGCCAGTATTTTTTTTTAATTACTTTTATAGTGTATATAATAACCTTTTTGTTGATTTCCTATGAAGTGGTGCTCTATCAAATCCCAAATATCATTACAAAGTTGTTCTAGTAATGAATTTATTGGTTCTTTGAAATCTTGCAAGATAATACGTGAACCCAAAAAAGTTTCAGAATCTTTTTTGAATATTGTTGATGCCCAATTCTTATACTTTATTGATTTATTGATGTTAACATCAACTGACTCATTAGAATACTGTTTGATACCTTCTATTTTTGGAGAAAGATCACAAATATGTAATATACACATTTTTCTCTGCAGAGCATACACCTTGCTGGATAGCTTTTTTGTAATTTTCATTTTTAAGAACTGCTTGTACTTTTAATTTTACATTTTGATGCATCAGGCAAACACAAACATTATATGTTCCTAAGCTGCTGGCAAAGACGCACTGTTTTGGCCTCAGCTGACAAAAAAAAGTAAAACAGGGGACACATTCACAATTTGACTGTTTTACCCAATCGTTGTGCAAGTCTTTGAGGTCATACAATAAGATTATTTTTGCAGATACGTGAAAGTCCCGTCAGAAAGTGTTTGTTTAATACATTCCTTTATACTACTACAGTTTATGCTATTGTCATCATTTAGATAAAACTGTGCCATTTTTCATTTCTAATATCAGTTCATATTCTTAAGTAACTTTTTTTACATCTTTTACCTAAAATATTAATTATTGTACATTAAATGTTTTGTCGATATTATTTAAAATTTTGTGTTATTTGAAAAAGTATATATAAAATTTGACAATAAAATAAAAACAATCAATATTTTATAAGCTTACATTAAATTTAAATTCCAGATTTCAATTGAAGTGAAACATAAACTGAAAAGAATAAAAAGTATTCACTTTGGACCCTCAATTTTTTGTTTCATGATACAAGTGATAACTACAGTCGAAATACTTTTTAAAAGTAGCATGTGTCCAATTTACTAGTAAATTTGCAAGTAAAGAAACTTTTTCATAATAAGATCTGCAATTTTTCAATTAATTTTGAATACTTAAAATTGTTTCCTTGAAATTATTATTCTGGTGGGACAGTACTTATAAATCGAAGTGGGACACTTTAATCTCTTGGTTTTGAAATTACATTTTTATATGATTAACTACACTTTGAACTAAATAAATAGCTATTTATGTTAAACGGTAATCAGATAATTAAGAACGTTTAAAAGGAAACTGATGGCAAACAGCCAATATTTCGTGAATTTTTCTCTTATTTTGACTCTCAGTTTCAAACGTGCATGTATTTGTATCTGGTGAATTAGTTATTAATGTGACACAGTTTGTTTCTTGAGTAAGGACACTATTTAATCTCATATCATCAGATATTTATTCTTTAAGCCTATTTTTACTCGACAATACATAAGATTAGATGGTTTGTTCACAAGTTTCACAAATTTTTTTATCAGAATCAACTGTGATGTCTAAAGGAGTTGTTGAATAGGCAGCGAATTCTTGCTTTACAACAGGTAGAGTTGCAGTTCCGTCGATCTCCGTGGTTAAGCTGCATTCGGCGCGGTTAGTACTTGGATGGGTGACCGCTTGGTCACCATTCGAGTCTCGCCGTTTCGCCTGTGCTCTTGATTCTCGAAGGTCGATTAACTGTTTCTCTGACGCTTCGTCTACGTGATCATAGGTGTGACTGATCCACTTTAGTCTGAAACTGAGTTAGTCCAGATGTTTATGTATGTATATGTATATAAATATCTGGTCATAACTCAGGTGCACCGGTGGCTAATTAACACTATGCTTGTGTAAAAAAATGCCATGTCTGAGCCTACGGGCGATGATGTATGAGAAAAAAAAAAAAAAAAGTTG